TTAATTTAGATCTAATCTGGATCTTTGAGGTGGGAAGACCTCCATTAATCTTGACCACACATTCTGCTGGCATCCTATATAAAGGACATGGAAAAAGGAGGCACTCTCTATGTCTGCTAAACCTGTTGCTCACCTAGCAAGTCCATTCTTTTACTGGTATTATAGCCTGCTTCTTCGGGATCCCAGTATATATGGAAAACCAGCTGAGACATCCAGCCTTATGTACTGAAGAACTATAGGAATCTTGGACTTTCCATTGAAAGACAGTTATTGTTGTTCTAGCTGGATTACAGCCTGTAAGTCATTCTAATAAATTCCCTTTTTATCATACACACACACACACACACACACACACACACACACAGGTGTTGTGTGCAGGTCTTGTTTAGGCACCCATATTGTACTAAGAGAGGAGATTCAGTGTCCTACAAGGATGAACTTCCCAATAGATTGTGCAAACCCATGTGGTCATCCCTAAACACATGTACATATAGGCCTCACTCGATGGACTCAGCAGGTAGTATTTATGTGTACACGTGGGCACATATGTATAATAATTGAAGGATAAGAGGTCTTGAGACTGAGAGGGAATAAGGAAGACAAGGGAGGCAGTTGAGGTTGTAGAAATGATGGAACTATAGTTGTCATGCTTGAAATTAAAAAAATAAACACAAAAGGTTCCATTGTGCATATATATTATCACACTTTTTTCATTTTCCCATTTTATACCACTTAGGTTGTTCCACAATTGAGCTGTCTTTAACAGTACTCAGTGCTGCCATAGATACTGATGTGTGGTTATCTCTGTGGTGTGTTGACCTGGAGTTTTGGATGAATATGCATGTACATAGCAAGTTGTGTACTTCCACCATACTGTGACATAGTAAACGTTTCCATTCCCAAAGGAAGAACAAGAGGACAGTATGGAAACACTGAACCAAAACTGGGAAATTCAGACGTATTGTCATTCTATATGCTATAGCTGGGTTACATGGCTTATTTTTAGTTTCACAAGTGAATGGCTACAATGGTTTTTTCTTCACTCTGCAGACTGTCTCCACTCAGTTAGTTGCTTCTAATACTGTACAGAGCTTTTGAATTTCATAAAAATCCATCTGTTAATTGTTGGCATCATTTCCAGAGTAAGTAGAGCCCTATCAGAAACTCCTTACCTGGATCTTTTAGTACTTTCTTTACTTTTTCTTTCACCAGTTTCAGTTCTTAAACCAAGGTGATACAGTTTGAATTGATATTTATAGATTGAAAGACAGGGGTATAACTTTATTTTTCTACACACGGACACCCAGCTTTTGCAGCATCTTTGGTTGAAGATGCTATGTTTTCTCTGAATATGTATTTTTTGTATCTATGTCAAAAGTCACATGGTTATACCTGTGTGAGTTTGAGTTGTGGAATATTAGTTGATGTGTTACATTTGTTTAACTGTGAGGCTATGTTATTTTGCCTTTCTAAAACACCTAATTGGTCTAATGGCCAGTAGCTAGGCAGGAGAGGGATGTACTGGCTGCCAGGCAGTGATAACAAATAGAAGGAGAAAAAGAGAAGAGGGAGGCATTTGGAAAAAGGAGGAGAGAGGACAGCCAGGGCCAGCCACCCAGCTACACAGCAAGCCATGAAGTAATAAATAAAGGAAGGTATACAGAATATGGAAAGACAAAAGCCCAGAGCAAAAGGTAGATGGGATAATTTAAGTTAACAAAATCTGGCTAGGGCTGGATAGGTGGTTCAGTAGTTAAGACGACCCAGGTTCAATTCCCAGCACCTATATAGCAGCTAAAGATCTGTCTGTAACTCCAAGATCTAAAACTCTCACACAGCCATTCATGCAGGCAAAGCACCAATGCACATAAAATAAAAATGAAAAAAAGTATAAAAAAGAATAAAAGAAAAGCTGACTAGAAATAAGCCAAGTTAAGGCCAGATATTCTTAAGAAAGAATAAGTCTCTATGTAATTATTTGGGAGCTGGCTGGTGTATCCACAAAAGAGTAAAGAAGAAAAAAACGCAACAACTACAGGTTTGTGTCTAGGTCCTCTATTCCATTGATCTGTATATCTGATTTTATGCTGATACCATGTTTTTGGTTTTGGTGGGGATATTATAGTTGGTGTTGTTATTATGCCGTTCCAATATAATTTCAAATCAGGTTGGTGATACCCCCTAACGTTGTTCTTTTTCTCAGAATTACTCTATAGCTATCTGGAATCTCTTTCCTTCCATGGGAATGTTAAGATTTTTTTCTATTGCTTTGAAGAATGACACTGAAATTTTGACAGAGATTGTAGTGAATCTATAGGTTGGTTTTGTCAGTATTAACATTTTCACCATATTAACTATTCCAACTCTTGAGTATGATCAATCCTTTCATCTTCTGTTTCCTTCAGTTTCTTTCTCTCTTTTAAAATTTTCATTGTAGAGTTCTTTGGTTTTTTTTGGATAGCTTAAATCCAAGGCATTTATCTCACTGACCCTGTAGCTGCCTTTCCCACTAGATTGACTGGCCAGAGAGGCCCTGGTGTCCACCTGTCTCTCTTTCCCTCCAGTTCTGGAATTACAGATGTGTACCACTGAACTTGGGTTTGATATGGACACGTGACTGACAGGCACTTTATCCACCACCCCAAATCCATCTTCCCAACCTAATATTCACATTTTTAGAAAGGATTAATTTTATTTTTATTTGTGTGTGTAGATGTGTGCTTGTATGGAACTGTGCACATGTGAGTGCAGTACCTGAGGAGGCCAGAAGAGGGCCTTGGATCACCCAGAGTTAGAATCACAGGCTGTTGTGAATGGCCTGGTATGGATGCTGGGATTCAAACTCTGGTTGTCTAGAACAGCACTGTGTGAACTTAGCCCCTGAGCCTATTCTTCAACTCATTTTCACCATTTTTGTTGTTGGTGTTTGTTTGTTTTTGTTTCTCTGTGTAGCTTTGTAAACCAGGCTGGCCTTGAACTCACAGAGATTGGCCTGCCTCTACCTCCCGAGTATTGGGATTAAAGTCATGTGCCACCACTGCCTGGCCCTCCTTTTATAATTATTTTTTAATGGCTGAAGAATTTAGGAGAATGATGTTATGGCTTCATAAATGAAAATTATGTGTAATTCGAAATTTAGTGCTCATCAAATTTTATGAACACATAGTCTCTTGATCATAGCTGCTTTTGCCTGCATGTGTTGTTGAGTGGCTATGCTGCCCACTCTACCGATTTCCAAGCCCAAGATACCCACCTTCTAGCCCTTTTCATACTGATCCTAGACATTCTGGTTCCTGTGTTTCTTTACTGCTGACATTGTGTTCCATGGGGTGAGACCCATACTGCTCCTATAACCTCTTCACTCAGTTCCCCACTCATGCCCAAACCTCTTGACTTCATTTTCTTCTATACTTTCAGAAACCCATGCTTCACACACACTGACCTTTTTCTTTCTTGGGGTTACAGAGATGATGGAGACCTTACTTTGATATATATGTTTATATGAAACAATCTTATTTTACATATCAATCCCAGTTTCCTCTCCCTCCAATCCTCTCATGTCCCCACTAAACCCCTCTCCCTGCTCCCCGCCTCCATCCACATCCCAGGGAAAATATGGGCTTCCATGGGGATCATCAAAATCTGTCACATCATTTGGGGCAGGGCCTAGGCCCTTCCCCATGTATCTAGCCTGAGAGAGTAACCCTCCATGGGTTCTCAAAGTCCATTTATGATTCCACTGTTAGAGGCCCCATAGACTGCCCTGAACTCCTAACTGAAATCCATGTTCAGGGGGCTTGGTTAGGTCCTATGCTGGTTCCCCAGCTGTCAGACTGGGGTCCTTGAACTCCCACTTGTTCAGGAGACTTGACTTTCACAGCCTCTTTATTCTCTTGCTTCTATTTTAATTCTCATGTCTTACTTCTAACTTCTTCTAGGTCTCTTGTTAACAAGACAGGCAAGTGAAGAATTGGCATGCTTTTCTTAGTAACCTTGGTTGGACATCTATGACTCTGATCTTGAGCAAGCTGTAACATTTTAAGCTTATGTTCTACTTAGTCTGGTTTGAATCTGCTTTGAGGAAAAAGTGAGATAATCGTGTGTGATTAATCTGAGTCAAAAGAAACAAAGCAGGTTTTTAAGCATCTACAGTCCTCATGGGACAAATAGATCTAGTTATGAAGCATGCCCTAGTATATATTCTATATATCAAAGTATACAGCTAAATGAAAAGTCATCTAACTACACACATATATATATATGTACCCATCAAATTGAGATGCAATCATGAAATTAACGTATGTACATCACACACACTACAATGGAGGTACTGGGGAGACATCAAGCAGCTTTAGCAAAAGCAATCAAGTTTCCACAGTCAATGGTCCTGCAGGCCTTGTCTGCACAGGATTAACCGTTTCCAGAGTTTCTCTTGTCCTGTCATGTTCTGCTGCAGCTTCAGCCCCAAATAAACACACAGACACAGTATTAGTTATAAAACTATTGGCTGATGGCTAGGGCTTTTTATTGGCTAGCTCTCTCTTAATTATTAACCCTAACTACTAATCTATGTATTTATACATGGCGTTATCTTACCAGAGAATGTCTGGAGCATCTGTTCTTCCCTATGTTTGCTTGCAGTCTCTCTCTGCCTACCTTTCCCAGAATTCCCCTCATATCTAATAATCCTGCCTATCTTCCTGCCTGCACTGGCCAAACAGGGTTTTATATATCAACCAATAAGAAAAGCATACATACAGAAGGACATCCCCCAACAATTAACCTCCATCAGATAACCATTCCTCCAGTGGGTTGACATCTGAACACTAGTGCCACCTGCTATAAATCTCAAAGCCGCTGGCAATTTACATATATTATTTAGAAGAAAACTGGTGTGTTTGACTTGAGGGAATCAATGACAGTGGAACTGAGGTGCCCAGCATGGACAGAGATGGTGAACACTGGGGGAGGGGCTGATGGTGGTAATCCTCTGAAAATACTCAGTGCCCCTGGCCAATACACAAGTTAATTAAAATGATGATAAATATCAAACCACAGGCAATAAGAAGGGTGGTTGCTGTGATGTTGGATCCCATGCACGTGTTGACTCTGCAAAGCATCTTAGCCACCCAGCTGCCCTCGAGCTCCTTCAGGTCCTGCTTCTGCCTCTCCAACTCCTGCTTCACCTTGGCCAGGTAGCACCTGTAGGCTTCCTGGCGCTCACTGCTGTCACTACTAAGGAACACAGAGGCATGAAGGAAGAGGTCATTGCTGTAGAAGGAGCCATTACACTCCTGCTCCAGGCCCCTCACCAGGACCATGAGCTCTGCCAGCTGTCTCTGCTGCTCTTCTCCAGAAGCCCTGTTATTAAAGGCACAGTACCTCCCCCCACACTCCTCGACCAGGCTGCGCAGGCTGTGGTTGTCAGTGTGGGTCACAAACTCATGCGAGGTCTCATTTGCCAGGTCTTCCTTATGGGTGAAGAGGACGATCATGTGCCTCATGACTCCCACCCCAAAGGTCTCCTTCACCCTCCTCATGGCAGTGGTATCCTGGGCTCTGAAGCATCCCAGCTGGGTTACGTACATGGGGTCCTGGCACACACAGCAGGTAGCAGTCTCCAATGTCCTTTTCTTGGTTCTGGGCCTTTGACTCAAAGATGGGTGGCATGTCTACCACTAGGAAACTCCTTCCCTTCCATGTGCCCATCTCTGCTTGGCTGGTCCTGGTCACTGACTGGGCTCCAAGTCTGGACTCGAACGCTTGTCGGCAGAGGATGCTGTTCCCTGTGGCAGATTTGCCCACCAGGAGTATCCTCAACTGGTAGGCTTCCCGGTTCCCTGTGGATGAGAGAAAGTTTGTGCCTCAGTTATCAATTCTTCAGACTGTTATTTCATGGTCCATGCAGATAGTTCCTCATTCCCAGAAAATGGGTGTCACTCAAATGTTCCCAACTGTTTGCCTATAATTTTAGGTGGTTCTTGTCTTTTACTAAGTCCCTGTTGGGAACCTATCCTAGAACACACAGACACGGGGTGGGATTGCCACTGAAGGGAGAGGCTCTGTTCCATCTGGACCACAACAATTATGTCATTTCTGAAGAGAAGTTCCCTGTGCTCGCCCCTGGAGAATGCTCAGGGCAGATCCCGGGTAAACTGTTTGTGAAATAAGTGTGAGTTTATTAGACGGCAGAGATGAGAAGTCATGAATGACAAAATAGAGTCACAGCTTTTACCCACAGTGTTCCAGACACACTGTGTAAATGTGCTCAGCATATGCCCCCCAGAGGTTATTTCTGGTGGAAGAGCTGCAGCCACTCACACTCAGAGCCAGCTGGGTAGCCTAGGATGCAAAGTGGGCACTGGGAAATGAGACGAGTGATGGTGCCAGTTAAGTCTGGGAAATGATATGGAGTGGGCTGCTGAAAAGGGGTGGAAGAGAAGATGGTTAGGATCACTTAGAGGTAGACATACTAGAAAGGCCATCTATTTGCCAGGTGTGTTGGAGGAACCCCAGGAAACCAAGAGCTCAAATCTCCAGCATAGAAGGACTGAGGATATGGTACTGGCCTGTGAGTCCAAATGGATACTAAGTGCACTATAGACTCCTAAGAATCTGTCATTTGGGGGAAGCTGAGGGTAGTGGAGTGTCCATCCAGCAGGTGTGAGCTCAGGGCTCAATTCTCAGGATCACAGAAAAAAACTATTAAAATCTGTTTTACTCCTTTTAATCTGTGTCTCCCTTGGTGTTCTGGGGTGTTTTGTAAGAAATAGTAACTTTAGGGGTTCTTTCCTTTTTTCTTTCTTTCTTTTTTTTGTACAGTTGAGAAGAGATGATGGGATAAAGAGAAACTATGTCACCGTTGAGTTCCAGGCCCTTTGAATTCTCGTGCATGTTGGAGTCACATTTCCCCTCATTGTGTGGAGGAGAGTGTCATAATGGAGTGTGTGTGTGTTTGTCTGTGTTTGTGTGTGTGCACGCGCGCCTGCATTCATGTAAGCATGTGTGTGTTTGCAAGCATGTGTGTGTGTTTCTGTGTGTGTGTGCACAGGTGGGGTACACACATGTGGGCACATGTGTCTGCATATGTACATTTGTCTACATGAAAACAACAGAGGCTTGGACACAAGAGATTAGGAGACATGGGGAACAAACAGCAGTGGCCTGTTTGTTCTTGATCTTAACTGGTTGTCTGACCCTATTTTGGCCCAAAACAGGTGGGATAAGGAACAGTGACTCACATTCTTAATTAATTTAGGACCTTGGAGTTTTCTTGTCTTTGGCTATAGTTCCATATGTGCACTTCTTAAGGCCTTCCATTCTTTTCTGGAAGCAAAACAGGAAAGGAAGTAAAGTCAGGTCTTTGTGGGAACTGGTAATACACTTTGACTCAGGTAATTCAGGATAACTCTCCTGGCATGACCATTTCCATAGCTAACTCTCCCACCTATGTTTTACTTTAAAACACCTAAGTAACTGGATGGAGTGAGGCAGAGTCATCCCAGTACAGTGTGCCATTGACTTTCCTCACTCATGGGAAAGCAGAGGTTTTATTACAGGTGAACTGATGATCTCCACCAAGATAGAAGTATAAATATGGGAAGCATTCTTCTATGAGCAAGAACTGGACTTTAAAAACTGAACCAAAGTAGATGTGAACCTTCCAGGATAGAGGAAATAATTGCTGGGCTGTAAATAAAATTGGTTTGTTCAAAGCACCAGGCAGTTCCAGCATGGGGAAATGTTCTTGAGGAAAACAGGCAAATAAAACATGCTCTCCCTGGGTGGATGGAATGGAGGATGGCAACTCCTCAAGAACTGAGAGGATGGGGCTGGAGAGATGGTTCAGCGGTTAAGAGCACTGACTGTTCTTCCAGAGGTCCTGAGTTCAATTCCCAGTAACCACATGGTGGCTCACAACCACCTTGAATGAAATCTGGTACCCTCTGCTGGCCTGTAGGCAGAAGGCTGTATATACAATAAATAAATAAAATATTAAAAAAAAAAAGAACTGAGAGGAAGGAGGACAGGAGGACTGACACGCCTTCCTCCCCACACCTGGAGGAGTGGGAAAGAGACAGTGATACCATGATGGAAAGAGTCAACACTCATGACAAGATACAATTCCCATGGAGGATTTGACCAAGCATCTTCCCTGCTTGGTTTTGAGGTTCTGCTCTACCAGATAATCATGGTTTTTCTTATTTTAGTACATTCAACCAGAGACTGGAGCAACCGTGGCATAAATATCCTGTTCAAAGTGGTGTAATGCTGTGTCACTGGTTTGGCTGTGATGAAAAGGGCAGCATTCTGTAGGGAGGGCTTAGCCTGTGACTCTAGTCATCCCTTCGTGAACACTTAGCTCATGTTAGAAGGTGGTTTTTAAAAGCTTATCGTTTTAGAACATATTTGGACTTTGATTTGTACATGAAAAAATGTAGAATTAAAAAAGATAAATCATAAAAATAAATTTAAAAAACATAGAGTGAAAACAAGTAGCTACCATTTGCAATGAGGAAACATAAATGATTTGCTGTTCTACTACAGTTTCACCACCAGATTAAAAATTAAAACAATACAGATGTAATTCATGATTGTTGATTTTTTTTTCTCTCAATCTCCTGTCTCATTCTCCATTCTAGCCTTCACAGCAATAAGCATTTTGTTGTTTTTGTGTCTGAGTATTTGCATATGCATTTAGATATTTAGAAAATTCTCAGTCCTGTTTTTACATGTTAAATTTCTACATAAATGTCATGTTGCAACAGCTAGTTTTTTTTTTTTATTCAGGGACATCCAAGTTGTTCTGTAATCATTTCTTTTTACAACAAAGAGTAAGATAATCCTCATAGGTACCTCTTGGCACTCCTGTTCATCTCGGGTACACTTTTTCTGCTAAGCTATATATGGCCAGGTTTAACTCTTGAGTGGGTCCAGTCAGCTCTTGCTTACCCCAGCATCCCAGGAGAACCTCCAAATCACCATAAATGGTACACTGCATTTTTTATCACACTTAAGAACATCGGGCTGGCCATTTTGAATTTAAGACATGGCATGGTTTGTGTGCTACTTATAGTGCTTCTGTTATTTTGTCTTTCACAATTATATTTTGCAAAGAAAATGGCTTTTCTTGGACTTCTTTGTAAGAACCCATCAATTCTTTTCACATATCAGAATGTCTAAAAGCACCTCCTCTCCCCTCCTCTGTCCCCTCTCTGTCTTTCTCTTTCCTGTTCTGCTTGTCCACCTTCTCATCCCCCTCTTCTTCCCTGCCCCATTTTTTCTCCCCCCTTATTCCCTTGCACCCAGAGAAGAGCAGCCCTCTCAAAGTCATCTCTTATGTACTGTTCTTGTCACTGTAAGCTACATCCTGGTTCTTAGGAAATTCATCAAGTCATGGAGTACTGTCTGCACTAATTGTTCAAGATCTGAATGTGAAGGATACAGTGTCAGTTTCAATGAACCTGAACTTCCCCACTGTGACTCTCCTCTGCAGACACTCATCATGTTCAGGATTTTTCCATGACCTTTTTTTCTTGTGTTCCCTATGCTGTTATTTACAGGCCACTTTAAAGTCACATGACCTGCCCACAGTCACACATTTGCGTTACAGCTAACTCTCCCCAATGGCTCCTTTTGTCTGTGTTATCTCTTAGATTTCTCAGCCAGTGTGGAGTTGGGGGAGATCATTCCTAACAAATCAATAAGCCTCCCTTCCTGGAACCCTATGCGTGATGCTGCTATCCCATGCTTTGGACATAAACTAGTACTGACTGCTGGAAGTCTCTCCAAAACCAACACAGAATTGCACTTCTATATCTAAGTTCATGTTTCCACAAAATACCACCATGTCCTCTCAAAAGAACTTCTCAAAGATAAGACCATATGGGGGTGTCTGTTCTATTTTGAAGGATTTCAGTTAGAGTCTGACTTGATTCTCACTGTGTCACTTGAATGTGTGCAATGTGGCTGTCACAACCAAACTCAGCAACATTAACAGGGAAGGTTCTGAATCAGTTTCTGAAAAATCAGACAGACTACAGGAGACACATGTCCCACTCAGGGATAAGAAAAAATGCCCAAATGCCCAGAGGTGAGACAGACAGCATGAGATACAGACACTAAAATGAGTCACAGACCAAAAAGGAGAAGAGACTGACAACAGCCTAGGAAAAGACAGGGGAGGGGGAGGGGCTTGTGATGGACAAGAAGAGATGTGGCTGTCAGTCTGCAGAGCACACAGCAGTGGACATATTGAGAATGAACATAGATTTCTTCTCCATAAAGGAAAATTCTGCTAATTTTCCAGTGTGGATGCAGAGGCCATGGGAGACGGGCAGACAGTGTGTGAGTGGCAGCAGATGATAAGGGGCAGGTGTCACCCAGGGAAAAGGCAGAAGCAAATACACAAAATGAACATTCTTGTCCTAAACCAGACAAGCTGATTTATCACATTTTATTTCACCAAGCAGTGAGAATGCAGGGAGTTACTTTATGAGAGATAGTCTTTTTGTCTTCCTGATTCTTAAGCAGCAGGCAAATCAAGAGCTGCCCGAGCTTGGCTTTGAGGCCCAAAACACCAGTAAAGAGCTGAGGATGCTCGCCTGCATCAGCAATCCCAGCAATACACACAGAGAAGCAGTCAGTGGAGACAGAAGAATGGGTCGGAAGATATCAGGCCAGCTAGCCCATGGTGTAGCAGAAACAAGAAAGAGGCTGTTTGCACCAAGTGTAATGGTAGACATTGCTTCAGAAATTTGTGAGTTTTTCTCATATGGACTGAATTTGTGATTACAAAATTGTCTAACCTTTTCACGTTCCACAGGCAGCTACTTATTTTATTGATGGCTCATCTAATGGCACAGGAGGGATTCATGATCCAGATATTCATCAGTTTCTTAATACTTCCCTCAGCCTATGGAGTGGAACTGGCTGTTTTGATTTGCTACAGTTAGTTAACAAACCCTTAACCCCTGTGATTCTCCTTATATCATAGGATTATTCCTCAACACAAGGCTGCTACCTGGGCTATGGGAATGGCAGAAATCCTACAGGAATGGCTGGAGGGGCATAACTATCTTCCTGGATGTGGCCTCCCTGATCTTTCTGCTGGTCTACAGAAAGATGGTCATTGGGTACCAGGATAGCAGATAGCCCTGGTCTTAGATGTATTAACTATAAAGGAAATAATTTAAAAGTTGAATACTTAGAACTCTGCTCAGAGCTCACAGTACAGGAAACATGGCATCAGCTTTGCAAAGGCTCGAAAGTGATGAGTCTCATCTTTAGCTGTATGTATTCTGACATAAAAAATAAAATTTCTCTAACTAAAGCTTCCTTTAGACATTTTCATCATGCCTGTGGGCCCTCATGAGAGCTCTAGCACATTGGACCCCCTGGGCAGCATATGGTGGGACAGATCCCTGACATTGACATGCTATCATCCCGAGGCCCATGAGAATGCTGGGGCTTTCCAACCCATTTCCCTTGTCTTCTGAAACCCTCAGGTTAACAAAGCTAATTGAATGCTCTTGTCTTTAACAGATGGGAAACTGTCCCAGTGTCCACAGGCTTTCCCAAGTTCCCCAGCAGGTGGGGCACACCTCTCCATTTTACCCCAGACCCATCAAAATCCACACAGACCAGACGGGCCTCATGTCAAGGACATCAGGATGGGGTATTAAGGCTCTACAGGCCAGGGTAGAATTTCTATGTTACCTCCCTCATGATCCAATCCTTCCCTAGAAGACCAGTCAGTGAACTCCACCCTATTATCCTGTCTGAAAACCACTCTGTTCTTCACAGTTAAGGTAGCCCATACCTCTTCCATAACACACCCCAATACTGTGGTAAATCAACATCCTTGAGATCAAGACTTACGTGAACCCTCATTGGCAGCTGAACCTTACAGGAGAGGGTGCCATTTCCTAGACTCTTGATCACTAACCTGCCCTGTGACTCCAGTACAGGAACAGGGTGGACCAGATGGGTGGAACGGATATCACTGAAAATGTTTGTGTTTATTTTCAGCTGTGTGAGAGTGTACAGGCACACACTGGTGCCACGGAAAGATTTTAAAGTTTGGTCATCTAGTTGATATTCATTTAAGGAATTATCTATCTCTTCCTCATGATTGATATCTTCTGTGTCATCCTTAAGCACTTGGATAACAGTCCAAATTAAAATTCAGTGACCCAAAATTGAACAAGATCTTTTCTCCATGTCTGTGTGCCTTTTCAATATTCTTTCGGATTCTGTCCCATTCTTCTTCATCTAAAGTCCCTTCTTCTGGAAACCAAATATTATAATCACAAACAAATTACAAGAAATTTAATAGTTGTGATGTTAGTATGTGTTTTCCTTCTTTCATTAAAAAAAAGATGCACAAGTTAAACAAAAAGCAAAGCCATCCATGGTTTCTGCCGCTGTATTCTCACTGACCTCCTTCTGAGTGGGTTCATCACCACTTATCTCATAGACAACTTCAGGTCCAAGTTTCAGGCACCATTTGTCATATATCTAGACCTAGGAGACAGGAGCCAATAAATTAGGTGGACTAAAGTCTGATGCAATAGCCAACTTCATTCAGAGCATCAGATAACTTACACTCTGAGAGTTAAGAATAGTCACACGAGTCCTTCTCTAGCTATCCGGCAAGGTGGATGAATGTAGTGCCTGACCGAATGGGTTTAGCTCATTAAACAACTTCAACAAAACATTCTTTGCATTTTGAATCACACATAAAATGTCCAGTTACAAAGGAAGCCACATGTGGCTAACAAGATTTGCATGGTGCTCAAGCCTCATGTGGCAAAAATATGTTTTTCTATAGAAGCATGTAACCAAATAACTATATCCAGTTGTAATAAATAATCTGAAATAAACTCCTATGCACTACACATGGGAGGAGTATGAAAGCATGATCTATGAACAATTCTGTGTTTTTTGAAGAAACTGAGGTCATAAGATTCTTGTCTTGGTTACCTGGAGTTTTCTCCCAAGCACTCAGAAATCTCCTCACAGGACTCCATTCTTGAACTGTGTTCATAAGCAGAAAACATTTGTTTTCTGCATATCCTATGACCGAAGCCTGTAGTGTTTCCAGCAATAGGGTCTTACCATCAAGATGTAGTGCACTATCAAGATCAATGGCAATGGTCTCTGTGGTGGTTTGAATGAAATGTCCCCCATCACACCATAGGGAGTGGGGCTTTAGGAGATGAGGTTTTGTTGGAGTAGGTATGGCCTTGTTAAAGTTTGTCACTGGGAGTGGGCTTTGAGATATCAGAAGCCCAAGGTAGGCTCAATTGTGAATCCAGATGTAGAACTTTCAGTTACCTCTCCTCACCATGTCTACCTGTTTGCCACCATGCTTCACTCCATGATGATAATGGACTAAACCTCTGAACTATAAGCCAAACCAGTTGAATGCTTTTCTTTATAAGAGCTGCCCTGGTGGTCTTAGTTAGGGTTTCTATTGCTGGGAAGAAAAAGATGACCATGAAAAATCTCATATATGAAAATTTTATTTGGTGTGGCTCACTTACAGTTCTGGGTTTCAGTTCATTATCATCGTGGTAGTGAGAAGGGTGACATGCTGCCAAACATATTGGTGGCTGCATTTTGATCAGATGGCAACAGGAAGTGTACTGAGACAATGAGTGGGATCTTCAACACAGGAAATCTCAAAGCCTGCCCCCATAAAGACACAATTATAACAAAGCCATACTCACTCCAACAAAGTCACAACTCCTAATAGTGCCACTGCTTATGAGATTAGAGGGTAAAATTACATTCAAACTATTATACATGGTCATGGTGTCTCTTCAAAGAAATAAAACCCTAGCTCATACAGTAGTTGCTGTCAGAAGTGCTGTATTGCTGTGATGGGATGGCCACACTTTTGTTTGGAGGATTGTGGACTTTGGACTAGAAAAGCAGTTGAACACTTTAAGTGGGGCTTAATGGTCCTCACCAGTAGGAGTATGGATGATAGTGGTGCTGAGAGTGCTTTGAACTGTGAGGGACTGCCTCAGGAGGTTTCAGAGGAGAAGAATGTTAGTATGTGGACTAGAGACTGTTCTTGTGATACTTTAGCATTCTGAAAGCACAGGCAGGAGGATCTCTGAGTTCATGAAACATGGTCTATAGATTGAATTCCAGGACTGGTAAGCTTACACAGTGAAGGCAACGATAAAAACCAGAATTCTGTTGAAAATGTATTTGAAGGAGAGGCAATGTTCCATCTTCAGGAAGCAGTAGAACTTTTAGCTTATCACACATGGTTCTGGCTTTGGAGAGGTGGTTCTAAAACTTCCTAATACTGTAACCATTTAATATAGTTCCTTATGATGTGATGACCCACAACCATATTATTTTCATTGCTCCTTCATAGTTGTAATTTGGCTACTGTTATGGTTTGTAATGTAAATAACCTATGGTCTTAGGATACCCCTTGTGAATGGAGTTTTCAATTCCACCCCCAAAGGGTTCATGACCCACATGCAGAGAAATACAGCTTAAGAGGCAATGATACCAGAACAGGGTTATAGAATCTCCCTCCACAATTAAGGAAACATGATGAGGCCAGGCAACTAGCAGGGGTGTTTGTTTGAGGACGTTCAAAGAGGCCAATGCATGAAGTCGAATAAATAAATGAATAAATAAATAAATATTTTAATTAATTTTTTGACAATATCACACATTAAATTCTGATCTTATTTACCCCACACTCCTTCCACAACTAACTTTAGCTCACTAACCCTTGCTTTATGTCCTCTTTCTTAAAAAAGAAAAGAAACCATGGACTCTCCTTCAACATTTTCAAATTAATGTCTGACCCTTACAACATTTCTTCTCTACACAGAATGCATGGTAGCCCCATGACCAGGTTGGCCAGAAGTCCCCTAGTTTGGTGTCAGTCATGATTTATGTACAGCATCTCTTCATGAGAAACACTGGAAACCTGGTAGTTGAGAGACTGAAGTTCTAGCACAGGGGAAGCACAGAGTTGCTAAAGAGTTTCACGTCAGTCAGAGCTAACAAGCCTGACTACGACTGCATGACCTGCACACGTGGGGACAAAGGGCTTGGCAAATTTCTGGACAGCTTGATCATTCCTACACACAGATTTTTCAGTGAAAGTTCACCTGATTTGGGACAAGGAAAAGCAGGTGCTTCCAGGAGTCTCTGTACCTCACAACCTGGGCTCTACCTAAGAAGCTATTGTGAATCATCCATGCTGTATGTATTTATTCATTATTCATCCATGTATTTTTGTACTGTTCATTCTAAAGCCCAGGGCCAAGGGAATGCCAGGCAAACAATAGCTAATAATCCACAACCAAACTCAAGCTAAAAGATTAATGATGCAGACAGGTAGAAAATAAGATGAGGTTATGGTTGGAACCAAGTAGAAGGGCAGAAGATGGTACCCCACAGGCTGAGTGCCAGCAGTAAACCATGGTGACTATGAAGAATATGAGATGATGAGGCAGATGTGAGTTCAGACAACTGAGCTGAGGAAGCAGCATTGTCAACAGTGTTCCTCCTCTCAAGGGTGATGGTACCTGTGGGAAGATGGAGGAATGACAGGAGAGAAATGTAATGGATCCTCACAGAAATATTCCTGAGACAATTCTACCTGCTTTCCCAAATCTAAGTGCTTCCAAGGATCTTTGCACAGGTTAGCAAAGAACAACGATGGGTCAGGCTGGGAGAGAACAGAGGTCTGGATGACCTGGGATTCCCAGAATGAGGTGGGTGAGGACTCTGTGACCTCACAATAGAACCCTGCCCTAGCAATGCCAGGGTCTTACCTGAGGACAAGCCAGAGTCCAGAAGGAGGGCTTGAATCACAGCAAGTACATGTGACTCGGTAAGTTTGGGCTGTTTTCTGGGAAGGACACTACCTTAAATTAATCATGTGAGTGACTCACTCAGTTTGAGGCACTTCTTTATTGAGATCTTAAATGGGGACACTAAAACATAGTGAGGTATTTGAAATGTCCCAGCCTGAGGACAGCTCATCTTATGAAGAGGTAGAAACAGCAGGAGTCAGAAGTCTGATAGCAGTGGACAGGAACCTCAAGACCACATGGAGAGAAACCCCTCCACTCACAGAGAGAGAGGCCTCGGGATGAAGGGACACAGGTGGATCTGCACCAGGACTCCAGCCTCAGACCTAGGTGATAAGGACGGAGGGTTCCTGTTTTTATGCCCACATTAGACAATCACACGTAGGTTGTTCAAGGAGTGTGGGCAAAGCATCCCTGGCACTGATATCTGTTCTTCCCTGATAATTCTGGTCCCTGGTGGTAACAATGTTTTCATTTATACTAAGATAGACATAGACAGCTGCCATAATTTGGGAACAGAATCCAATGTCACTGTCACAGGAAGCACCATGGCAGTACTCTCCCTTCTAATTCTGTGCTTATCCACGTTTTCACTTGGATGTGTTTTGAGGAAGCTTTAGGCTCTGTGAAGGGAGATATATACATAGGTTTCCTGGGATGAAGGGATAATTTAACCTCACTAGGCTATACTGGGAGCACGGTGATAAAGGATATGAGCTATAGCTGTAGAAAAAGCTTCAGTAAGTATCTGTAAGATGTGTGACAAAGAACTAGTATAACAAGGACTCAGGAAGACAACACCCACAACTCACTGGAGAATGAGGCCATGGGATGTCCACACCCACACTGTATCACATGAGAAGACTTCAGTCTCAAGGCTGGTGCAGAATAAACTCTGATAGTGGGCCCAAAAAGCCAGGAACAACCATCAGCTAAGGCAGCCCACAGTGTCAGGACAGGTAGGAGTGTGTCAAATTCATTACTGCAGGGGTCTGAAGGGTCTTTGCTTCTAGACAGCACAATCCTTATCTTTTATAACTATGCGTAGGGTCCAGCATGGCTGAAGTCAGGGACACAATAAGAAACACAACTACAGCCATCTCCATAACCTATCCATATTTACATTTAAATTATATGTAAAATTTAATGAAGAGAGGCCTCTGAAGAAACTGTCAACTCAGTGCATAGTCTATCACTTAAGGATTGAGCCTACAGAGTGTTAAGATAATTACTTGTACCAACCACCTGTTTGTGACATCCCCACAGGGAGCATATGCTTCACAGGTAGGAGTGCTTCTCATGGGCTTCTCTAGACATGAACCTTCCTGGAAATCATCTTTACATTTGGCCCATAGGCCCTTCCCAGAATGGCCACAGACACTGATGCCATACTCCATCCATCTTATTTTCAAACTTAAGCTTTTACTTATGAGACCTGAGTTAATATATTTGTGGTTGAATCTGGGTGTCTGAGTGGATTTTCTCAAATTTCATCAACTAACCACAACCTGTATTTGTGAGAAAAGGTGACAGCTGCTGAGGCAGAGCCAGCCCGTGCCTTGGAACTCCAGTTTCCAAATGACAAGAGGAAGAAGCTCTGCTGTTATACAGATCTACAGAGTGACATTCTCAGAAGTCATTGACTGTTTCATGGCAGGACCAGGTAAGGGAATTTCATGACATCCTGATTTCTGGGCAATCCTCCTGCAAGCTTTGTTTAATGGTGGTGATGGGAGAGGTTGCACCCCAACATTTTCCATCAGCTGAATACCCAAAATCCTGCAGATGGCACACTTAAAATCTCTTGACAAGAGAAACTTATTTAGAAACTGAGCAGCAGAAATGAGACACCAAGAAGTGAATTGTGTACATTAGGGCAGAGTATGATCCTTCCCTACTAAACATGCTGGTCCCAGGGGTGAAGTTCCCTGTAAGAGAAGGACTGGATGTGAGCTTGTTCCCAAGAAATGATCTTAAGAGAAGCCTTCAGGGACTTCCCCTGAATACCAGCCCAAAAGACATCTGTGCACATCGACACCTTTGAGTTTCACAGACAGAGTGAGGCCTGGCCTCTGTGACCTCACATGAGGGTCACTGTCATGGTTCCGGGTGTGACCCAGTTCAGAGGGCAGCAGAGTCCACTATAGTGGACCAGGATTTAGCTCAGGAGAAGGTGGGCAGAAATCTATTTCAGGTAAGTGATTGCTGAAAATTCTGTAGGTGAAGAAGTGATCTCAAACCAGTACACTTGGCAGGGGACTATCTGGAAAGGGGTGACAAAGGCAGATTAGGTGTCTGAGGGGGTTTTGATTGACATGGCAGATGTGACCATGAGAAGGGTTTCAAAAACAAGGGTCAGAGAAATTACCCTTGCTGAACATGGCCATGTAGGATATTCAGAGAGAGGATGCCATCCCCACACAGCAAAGAGATTTCTGATGATCTGTAGAGACTTCTATGCCTTAGCAAGGCATCCTCAAGATGAAGGGAGGACTAACCTCTGCTGTTTCTAGTTACTGTGATATTCCATCAAGGGTTCAGACGACAGAAAGGAAAAATACCATGGTGACTTGGTGGGACTCTCCTAATTGTATCTCACAACCTAGAAGCGACAGTCTTTCCACATGAGCTCAGAGATACCCCTCCACCATAGACAGTCAGCTGTGCAACAGGAAGGAATTACCCAACCATCTTTCTCTTTGTATAATGTATAATTATTTCATGTGAACTGTGGGCTATTTGTGTCTGTTTCTGTGCATGTTTCCCCATGGACAGGACAATGATGTTTTGAGAACATTTAAGTAGCTAGTATTTTCCACTATCAAAGTCCACCTGACTTTTCTTTTATTTTTTCAGAAATGCTAAAAATAGACCAAGATTTAGTCAAAGATTTGGGCAAGCATCGGCTGGAAAGGATCAACTACCTCCACCCAAATGATAAACAGGTACGCTGACCCTGCAAAAGGCTGGACCCCAAATCAGAAGACATAAGGAACCGAGGAATTCCCTTACCCTACAGAAGCCTGGGCCCATTAGAGAGGAAACATGGGCCTGGGCCAATCAAATGAAGGATGCCAGGGACAAACCAAGACAATGAGGAGCCCTGGCCAATTCAAACCCTGAAAATGCACAGGCCCAAAGCAAGAAGAGATGTGGGCCTGGGCTAACCCCTGACCCAAAAGAAGCCTGAGCATAATTATCCAGAGATTTTGGCCTGGGCCAGTCCAAAAATGTGGCCTGGGCCAGACCAAGAAAATGAGTGTGCCCAGGCCAATCAAGACCCTGAAAAAGCCCGGGCCCAAGGAAGAAGAGATATGGGCCTGGGCTAACCCCTGACCCAAAAGAAGCCTGAGCATAATTATCCAGAGAATTTTGCCTAGGCCAGTCCAAAAATGTGGCCTGGGCCAGACCAAGAAAATGAGTGTGCCCAGGCCAATCCTGACTCTGAAAAAGCCCGGGCCCAAAGCAAGAAGAGATGTGGGCCTGGGCTAACCCCTGACCCAAAAGAAGCCTGAGCATAATTATCCAGAGAATTTTGCCTGGGCCAGTCCAAAAATGTGGCCTGGGCCAGACCAAGAAAATGAGTATGCCCAGGCCAATCCTGACTCTGAAAAAGCCCGGGCCCAAAGCAAGAAGAGATGTGGGCCTGGGCTAACCCCTGACCCAAAAGAAGCCTGAGCATAATTATCCAGAGAATTTTGCCTGGGCCAGTCCAAAAATGTGGCCTGGGCCAGACCAAGAAAATGACTGTGCCCAGGCCAATCCTTACTCTGAAAAAGCCCGGGCCCAAAGCAAGAAGAGATGTGGGCCTGGGCTAACCCCTGACCCTAAAGAAGTCTGGGCCCAATTATCCAGAGAATTCAGCCTGGGCCAGTCCAAAAAAATGAGTGTGCCCAGGCCAATCCAGACCCTGAAAAAGCCCGGGCCCAAAGCAAGAAGAGATGTGGGCCTGGGCTAACCCCTGACCCAAAAGAAGCCTGAGCATAATTATCCAGAGAATTTTGCCTGGGCCAGTCCAAAAATGTGGCCTGGGCCAGACCAAGAACATGAGTGTGCCCAGGGCAATACAGACCCTGAAAAAGCCCGGGCCCAAAACAAGAAGAGATATGGGCCTGGGCTAACCCCTGACCCAAAAGAAGCCTGAGCATAATTATCCAGAGAATTTTGCCTGGGCCAGTCCAAAAATGTGGCCTGGGCCAGACCAAGAAAATGAGTGTGCCCAGGCCAATCAAGACCCTGAAAAAGCCCGGGCCCAAAGCAAGAAGAGATGTGGGCCTGGGCTAACCCCTGACCCTAAAGAAGCCTGAGCATAATTATCCAGAGAATTTGGCCTGGGCCAGTCCAAAAATGTGGCCTGGGCCAGACCAAGAACATGAGTGTGCCCAGGCCAATACAGACCCTGAAAAAGCCCGGGCCCAAAACAAGAAGAGATATGGGCCTGGGCTAACCCCTGACCCAAAAGAAGCCTGAGCATAATTATCCAGAGAATTTTGCCTGGGCCAGTCCAAAAATGTGGCCTGGGCCAGACCAAGAAAATGAGTGTGCCCAGGCCAATCAAGACCCTGAAAAAGCCCGGGCCCAAAGCAAGAAGAGATGTGGGCCTGGGCTAACCCCTGACCCTAAAGAAGCCTGAGCATAATTATCCAGAGAATTTGGCCTGGGCCAGTCCAAAAATGTGGCCTGGGCCAGACCAAGAAAATGAGTGTGCCCAGGCCAATCCAGACCCTGAAAAAGCCCGGGCCCAAAACAAGAAGAGATATGGGCCTGGTCTAACCCCTGACCCAAAAGAAGCCTGAGCATAATTATCCAGAGAATTTTGCCTGGGCCAGTCCAAAAATGTGGCCTGGGCCAGACCAAGAAAATGAGTGTGCCCAGGCCAATCCTGACTCTGAAAAAGCCCGGGCCCAAAGCAAGAAGAGATGTGGGCCTGGGCTAACCCCTAACCCTAAAGAAGCCTGAGCATAATTATCCAGAGAATTAGGCCTGGGCCAGACAAAACAAGAGGCCTGGGCCAGACCAAGAAAATGAGTGTGCCCAGGCCAATCCTGACTCTGAAAAAGCCCGGGCCCAAAGCAAGAAGAGATGTGGGCCTGGGCTAACCCCTGACCCAAAAGAAGCCTGAGCATAATTATCCAGAGATTTTGGCCTGGGCCAGTCCAAAAATGTGGCCTGGGCCAGACCAAGAAAATGAGTGTGCCCAGGCCAATCAAGACCCTGAAAAAGCCCGGGCCCAAGGAAGAAGAGATATGGGCCTGGGCTAACCCCTGACCCAAAAGAAGCCTGAGCATAATTATCCAGAGAATTTTGCCTAGGCCAGTCCAAAAATGTGGCCTGGGCCAGACCAAGAAAATGAGTGTGCCCAGGCCAATCCTGACTCTGAAAAAGCCCGGGCCCAAAGCAAGAAGAGATGTGGGCCTGGGCTAACCCCTGACCCAAAAGAAGCCTGAGCATAATTATCCAGAGAATTTTGCCTGGGCCAGTCCAAAAATGTGGCCTGGGCCAGACCAAGAAAATGAGTGTGCCCAGGCCAATCCAGACCCTGAAAAAGCCCGGGCCCAAAGCAAGAAGAGATGTGGGCCTGGGCTAACCCCTGACCCTAAAGAAGCCTGAGACCAATTATCCAGAGAATTAGGCCTGGGCCAGTCAAAAAAAGAGGCCTGGGCCAGACCAAGAAAAGGAGTGTGCCCAGGACAATCCTGACCCTAGCACAAAAACTAATGTAATATCAGCACAGATTAATCCTCTCCCAAAGAGGCCTGAACCCACGGCCAATCTAAAGTTAAACAATACTGTGGTTGTAGTATGTACCATGAGCTTCTCTGATCAAGGCCTTATTTTCAGTTTGTATTTTACACCTAACCAAGACATCAGTGCACACATATCCCAGCTCATCACTGATAGTCTTGGACTAATGGTCTATACTTCGTGTAATGATTGATATAAGTGACATTCTGAGTACCAGATGTGTGGCTCTCACACACACTTCATTCAATCCAACATCTTCAGCATGCTACAAATGCTGACAACTTCACCATAAAGTGCCAAGGGCTCACCTAAATAATCCAGTAACACCACTGCACCCTGCACCTTATCTTGACTGACTTTTTTTTAAAAGAAAATTTCTCATACTCAACTCTAGCCATAGACTGCTCACCAAGAATCTTGGACAATCCCAGAACTTGATCTGATTAACTGAAATCTGGATTCATTATCCCCTCCAAGAAGGGGAACTTGATAATGACACAATTATTGACACAGGTTCATGAGCAGACCTGAAAGGAAATCCAGCACCTCCTTGAACCTTAAGTAGACTGGACTAATATTAAATGGTGTGTGGGCCACACACTCTAGTCAACCCAGGACAAGATCCCACGACAAAGGAGCAAGTCTTTAAAGGGACTATACATGACTTTAATGACCAAAGGAAATGGACATACCCATGACGCCGACCTGGTCTGAGGTCAGGCATTATCTCACTTCAATTATTTTTGGACAAATCATAGCCTCATTTGTGACCAAGATCAAACCTCACCTTAATGACCAAAGGAAATGGACATACCCATGACGCCGACCTGGTCTGAGGCCAGGCATTTTCTCATGTCAATTTATTTTGTTGGACAAATCATAGCCTCGTTTGTGACCAAATCCATGCTATTTCACTTAGAAATTTGGACTCAACCACAACCATTCTTGCACTGATGTTTGACATCACATCATAGACCATGACCTGTCATCAATGATAATCTAGAATCTTCTTTGTGGTACCACTATAGTTTGTGAGATGTACCTGCTATTCTTCCAACATATCCAACAAACATTCTCACAGCAGGTGTATTAAGACCTCATTGCTCTCTAGTAATCTGAGCCTCACATAAACATCAAATAACAATAACACAGCTTGGGATCAAGGGTGTGTGGGCCGCACCCTGCAAATCATCTGTCCCAAGGTCTTCCTGTATAAGGACTTTAAGAGAGCAAGGATAAGAAGCTGACTTGAAGTCTGACCTAGGCCACACCTACTGCTCCAAGAAGGTTGAACACACTTTAACACCATGAGTGGGGTGTCTGAAGAATGACATACTCTGAGTAGCTTCTACTGCCTGGGTCCAGCTTAAATGTAAGGGTATGTGGGCCGTACCCTCTCTCCATAGGACCCAGTGATACACTCACAGCAAGGGAGCAAGGACTATGCAATGACCTTTAATGGAACAAGGAACCACTCTCCTTAATATCAAGAAGAATTAGATGGCACAGGGTCTTATTGTGATTCACCTGATCCCTGCCCCCCACCATTCCATCCATCAAAAACCTTGGATTCTTAAACAAGGCTTCTGAAGCTGATGACTGAAGGACAATCAAAATCAGTGTGGGCTGGGGGCTAATTTTCCACCAAGAAGCCTGAGTCAAATTTAACATCCACATTTGTGGTCCTCAGTCTATCTTCATCACACCCAGGAGATTTCTTACGTTGGAGGACCCAGGAGCACAAGCCATCTGGATATCTGGGCCACACAAGAAAAACAATCTGGGCAAACACTGGCATGATGGGTGTGTGGGCCGCACCCTGGAGTCATTGTTTGCCCAACTGCTATCTGGTCTTCAAGAGATACGGGACAAGAAGATCTCATGTGTGTTAGCAACACCAACACCTCAGAGGAAACTGGAACCACCACAAGGACCAACACAGGCTTCAAGACTGTGGTCCAAACCCTCATATCCTGACATCAAATGTTATCTAGCCACTTTGATAACCTTGACCCTCAACTTGGCCACTACGTTGACCCTGACCTTCAATTTGATATGATTAAAAACATCAAGTAACTTAAAAATGTGATGACCCTGGAGTACAGACACAATTTTAATGTGGATGTCTAGTAGAAAACACTGAAATCCACACTCTGGTGGAAACTAGACATAGTTTCTTATGTTTCTTTAGTGTCACCAGAGCCTACCTAGAAGAAGCAAGACTTATACCCTGATTTCTATAGATCTCTGCCTTTATCTTATGTACCTAACACAGTGTCATCTTACAATATTCTTTGTCAAGTATTTCCTGCCCTACCATTATGTATATAGTTTTCAATAAATATAAGGTTTATTTGTGTCCTAGCGTTTCTATTGCTGTGAAGAGACACCATGACAATGGCAACTCTTATAAATGAAAACATTTAATTGGGGTTACTTGCTTTCAGGTTCATAGGTTTAGTCCATTACCACCATGGCAGGGAACATGGCAGCATGCAGGCAGACATGGTGCTGGGAGAGTTGCTGAGAGTCCTATAGCTTTCAGGCAACCGGAAGTCCACTGACAACTGGGTGGGACCCTGAGCATAGGAAACCTCAAAGCACACCTCCACAGTGACACACTTCTTCCAAAAAGGCCATACCCACTCCAGCAAAGCCACTCCTCCTAATAATAACACTCGCTATGAAATTTGGGGACTAATAGCATTTAAACTACCACAATCTTCCACCATGGCTTATCCATAAATATGTATTTTGACTGTTTCCCTCTATTTTTGACTGGTGGTTTTCAATCTTTGAATTGAACTTGAGAACAGGCTGTGATGTAGATAGATACCACATCTCTTTCTTCCCT